TGCGTGAAGCAGGGCGGCTGGCTGCCGCCCGTTGATGCACGACGGTGTTCGTGTATGGCGTCCTCTTTCCTCGTCTTCGTGATCCTATTCCCCCCGCCCCTCCCTCGCGCTTTCCGCCCTTCTCTCTCTGGCTCGTCCTTGTCCGTCCTCCTCCCACCCCCGAGTTACAGATCCTTCCACTCGCCCTCTTCTTCTGTCCTGAAGTTTTCCCCTGGTGGGTCTCGGCGGCTGGCGGCGACGCGCGTTCTGGAGTTTTTCGGAAGTTTCGGCTGGGCCCCCAGCCATCGTGAGCGCTTGGATAAAGCAAAAAGAGAGACGCCACCACTGCGCGCCCAGGCTCTGATTGCAATCTTCTTTAGGCCCCCCCCCCCCCCGCCCCAACTTTGCATCGGCACTGCGCTTCGCCCCCGCACCCCCCCATTCTTGCCCGTCTAACTTCGCGCGCCCCGTTGTTGAGTCACCCTGGTGGGCCCGAGATGTTCTTTCAAGGCAAATGCCATTGGGCGCAGGAATTGCTCGCTCGTATATGTATATGCCTTTGTATATGTCTCGCTCGTTGCAGGAAGAGGTGGGGAATGGCCAAGACCTTCAACCAAAAAAACACCAACATCGATAACCCATCAAATGAGGTATCTTTACGAAACAGCACATCGGGCAGCGTTTGGGGCAACATTCTGGGTTATTTAATCGCTTCGCTCATTCCGCCGGCCCATATTGTCGCACCGTTGTGGGCTAGCCGAGTTTTGGGGCCTCTTGGGGGCCGTTTTGGGGCCTCTTGGGGCCTCTTTTGGGCCTCTTGGGCGCCTCTTGGGGCGTCTTGGGGGCTTCTTGGGGGCCTCTCGGGGCCTTTTCGGGGCCTCCTGGGCGCCTTTTGGGGCGGAGGGTTAGATTTTTCAGTTCTCGGTTCCCCTCTTGAGCCCCTCTTGGGCCCGTCTTGGGGCCACTTGGTCCGTCTTGGGCGGCACTTGGGCCGTCTTGGGGGCCCTCCTGGGCCGTTCCGGGGCCTTCTTGGGGGCCTCGTGGGCCGTCTTGGAGCGGTCTTGGGAGCCTCTTGGGCCGTCTTGGAGCGTCCGGAAGCCGAAAAAGCCAGAACACAAAAAAACATCGAAAAAAAACCAATGAAAATCAACGATGTTGGCCTCTTGGGGCTCTCTTCGGAGGCCTCTTGGAAGGCTCTTGGGGCGTCTTGGAGGCCTCTTGGGCTGTCTTGGGGGCCTTTTGGGCCGTCTTGGGGTCATCTTCGGCGTCTTCGAGCGCTCTTTGGGCGTCTCGGGGGCCTCTTGGGCAGTCTTGGGGGCCTCTTGGGGCACTCTGAGCGCGCTCTGGGGAGCCTGAGAGGCCGCACCCAGAAGGAAAACCATCTCTGAGTAGACTTGGTCGGGCGGCGGTCGGGCGGCGGTCGGGCGTTGGTCGGGGTACTTTTCGCCGGGGGACCCCCAGGGGCCGCCCCGCGCGCGCGAACTAGAAATACTGTTAATACTGTTAACCAGTTGCCGGAGATCTTAGCACGCCCTGGCCCGTTGGGCCGGCGAATTTCATTAAAGTGAAGCAATGCCCTTTTCAACCGAGGAGGAGGACGCGCGGGTCGAGTGTCCACCCGAAGTCCTGGAAGAGTGCCGCGCGAGGGGCGACACTGAGGACTGCGTTTGGCAGCTCGCGAAGCAGTTGCCAGGACGGCGCGCTGGATGGAAGTGCTGGGTCGATTTCGCCGCGGGGCAGCTCATGGCCAGAGGCTTCGGGCGGTCGCCGACCGCGCCCCATTTCTTCTGGCACGCCGTGCCCCCATGTCTGGTGGAGCTGCGCATGGGCGTCATGTGCGGCGCAGCGCCTGGCGTCGCAGGGTCCGACTTCGTGCTGGACCTGGGCCGCGATATCAAGGCGAAGTGGTCAGGCCCTCAGGGCGACGGTGCGGACTGCGAGTTTCTCAGGGGGCGGCGCGTGCGAGAGGCCGACGCTACCTACGTTCAGCCCAACGAGAAGCACCTCACAAAGGCACTGGAGGCGCCGGGCCTCGAGGAGGGCAACCCGCGCGCCACCCCAGGGGCGGGGGCGCGCAGGAAAGGCAGGGGCGACGCGCCCGACCTCAGCCCAGACCAGGCTGTTCAGGAGAGTGACCACGCGCCTGCTGTTCTACCTTCATGACCGCGAAGATGCTCAGCACGACATGAATTACCTGACCTCGTGCATCTCATCGCCCCGTGAGGCGGACATGCGAGCCCTCAAGGGGCTGGCGAGGTGCTTGAAAGGGCACGAGTGACCTGGGCGTGAGGATGGCCAAGACCACCACGCCGCGGGACATCGTCGACCAGGTCGCGTGGACAGACTCCGACTGGGCAGGCGACGCGAAGGAGCGGGAGAGCCAGACCAGCGTGCACACCACCGCGCGTGGGTGCCCAATGCTCGGGATCAGCTGTCGTCAAGACGCACAGCCCCTTTATCAGCTGCGAAGCCGAGTGGCACGCCGGAGCTCGAGGTCTCAGCGAGGGACTTGGGCTGAAGGCGCTCTTCGCGCTCATGGGCTGCAGCGTGCGCATTAGCTGGCGATGTGACAGCTCGAGTGCGAGGGCGCGGGCGAGGCGTCAGGGCACCGGGCGGATCGCGCACCTCGCCACCAAGACGCTTTGGATTCAGCAGCTGGTGGCCAAGAAGGTCATCACCATCGAGCCTGCAGCTGGCGACGACAACCTGGCGGATCTCGGCGCAAAGGCGTTGCCGAGGACACGCCCCGAGCAGCTCCGCGAGAGCCGCGGGTTGAAGGGGGTGCCCGTGCCAGGGGCCTCGAGGGTAGCTGGAGTCGGGGCCGTGCCAACCGACGTCCAGGGCCAGTCAACCCTGTTGAAAAGGTGTTGTTTGCAGTGGGTGCGTCGCTCCCCGCGGCGCAGGGAAGCTCGACCGAGCTGTGCGAGGCACCGCAGGGGAGGGCTGAGAGTGCGCTGACTCCAGTGGCCATGCCAGGAGTCACGACTGAGGGCTACTACGAGCCTGATTGTGCTGATGGCGGGCGAGAGCCCAGGGCTCCTGCTAGCTTTGCTCGGGTATTCCTTGACTTGCTGGTTTTGTCCGTGTGCGAGGCCGACTTGGTTCCGCACGGGTGTCCTGCCGCGCGGCGACGACGGCGGGAGGCCACGGCGCGCTCCGATCGAGGGGCCGAGCGAAGCAGCAGTGAAGCTCGAGACTAGGAAGGGCGACCGCAAAAGGACGGTAGCCACCCAGAGCCAGGTCAAGTATATTTGGTGGGCGACGAGCCCCCGTTTCCAGCCTTTGGGGCCGAGAAAACAGGGGGCGTGGTCCGAGTAGGGCCATGAGCCGCGCGCTGTTTAGATGCGCCATGGGCGCGAGTCTAGACATCCGCGACTGCGCGTCGAGGCACTGCGGGCTTTAAGCTTCGCTTTCTAGGACCCTGGAGGGAGTGGTGACCCGAGGAGCGCCCGAGGAGGAGCGGGGTCACCACCCGCCCCCGCTCGGCCAGGCGGCGTGCTCGGGATCTTGAGAGATTCGGACGCCGTCAATTCGTAGCATGCCCGCAGGCCCTTTTGTTCGAGCTGCGTTGAAGGAGAAAAGAGCTCCAATATACGCTCTCCCCACGCATCCGCGTAACTTCCGCCAGATATCACGAGCCATCGCTGGGAGGCCCCAAGACTCCCCAAGACGGCTTCCTGACGGCCTGGAGCGCCCCCAAGACGTTCCAAGAGGTCTTTAAGAGGCCACCCGAAAGCGCCCCAAGAGGCACAAATCATAGATTTTCGTCCCGCTTTCTCGCCTTGTGAGACTCCGCAGTTCTCGCCTTGTCAGACTCCGAATATTTCAGACGGCCCAAGGAACCACCACGAACACCGAAGAGGGCCCGCGAGGCGCCCAAGAAGTCCCCCAGAGGGCCCGAGGACAGCCCAAGGCGGCTCCATCACAGCTCGAGAGGCGTTCCAAAGGGTTCCAGGACGGCCCAAAGCGGGGGCCCAGAGAGGCAAACTGACCGACAATCTGAGCTTTCCACCCCAAAAGGCCCCCCGAAGCCTCCACGAGGCCCCCGAGAGAACCCAAGAGGCTCCCAAGACGTCCCCAACAGGACCAACAACTGGCCCCAACAGGCTCCCTAGAGGCTTCAAAACTGATTCCACGGGGCGAACATCGCCGCCGGACAGACCCCCGAAGAGGTCTGGGGACCCATGCCGAGCCGATTTCGAGCCCTGGGGTCGTCAGCGCCGCAGCCGCCGCCGCCGCTGCGGTCGTCGCCGTCGTCGTCGTCGCCGCCGTCGTCGTCGTCGTCGTCGTCGTCGTCGCCGCCGTCGTCCAGGGGCGGGCCCAGAATCACGGCCACGTCGTGGCATGGGGGCCCCGGGCGGCCCAAGGGCTCCCTAGCGGGGGCCTTGAGGATTCTCGGACGGCTCCAGAGGCCGCCAGGACCAGCCCGAGACCCCCCCAGACCCCCCGCAAGCGTTCCGAGACGCGCCAAGATGGCTTCAAGAAGAGCCGAGAGCCCCCCAAAACGCCCAAAGAGGGCTCCATGAATTCTAATTCGTTTCATTACCTTGGGGAAAACGAACTTTTGCAGCACATGCGATTTTCGTGCTTCCACGGCAGCCCAAAAGCCACCCCCCGTACCGCCCCAAGACGGCCCCAAAGGAGGTTTACAAGAGAGTCCGAAGACGGCCCCAGAGAGCCCCAAGACGGCCCAAGAGGCGCCCAAGACGGCCAGAAGAAGGCCCCAAGAGGGCTTCAATACCGCCTCCTTAGCGGGTTTGGCTCAAGCCATTAGGGCTCAGACCTACGGTATCCCCATCCACAAGTGTTTCTTCATGGTTGCGGCGGCGAGCCAGGCAGTCACAAACATGTGCGGAAAGGAATTCCAACCTCCAGCTCGGGTGGGCATCGACACGGGTTTGATGGGCGCTGATCCCGAGATCCACGCCATCAACGGGGCAGAGCTGGTGGACGAGAAGGAGGAGGCGAAGGACCAAGGCTCGGGTACGTCAGAGGAGGTGCAGGACTAAGGCCGACACCGCATGGCACGCGGCCGAGAGCGGCAGGACCGTACCCCTTCCCCGATGGCGAGGGTCCGCGTCGACGGCACCTCCGACATGATGCTGGCAGAGTTCAGCGACGTCGGCTGGGAAACCCGGGCCATGCGCCAGCGGCAGGCGCAGATTACCATCCGCGTCCGGAGGCTGGTGCGCGCCGAGCAGAACCGCACCGTCAGCATGCTGGAGCGCTGCCTCTGCGGGCTGGTTTTCAAGAACCTCTGCAGGCAGCCCTTCGCCAATCTGCCCCTCGTGGGCGGGGGGTCCGCGGGGCGTAAGCTCACGCGCGAGTAGGCGCAATGCAGAGTCAAGCAGCGACGGCTGTAGCAGCGAGTTAGCGCACGTCCCGCAGACGTGGGCGCAGTACAGGTCTGGTTTTCGCTTTGCGCGCGGGTGGCGCACGTGAATCCTGCAGGCTGATAAAATATGATTGGTGCAATTGCCAGTTCATGTTTAAATGTCACCGTCAATTCAGCGGCAGGGGAGTTCAGGCTCTGAGCTCCGTGACTCTGGCTCCTCGGGCGGCCCTTTCGCCGACACGTCGTGGGCATAGTTTCCTGGCCTGGCCATGGGGGCAGGCCCTGTCGCGGTGTGGCCCGCGTGACTCTGTCTGTGCAGGCGTCGGCGCCGCCGTCATTTAGTCGGCGGTATGTGGCCGGAGCTTGCGCTCACGCGCCAGTAGTCGGGGCCTAAGAGACGGGGGTCAGTGCAAACGGGGGTCAGCCAGAGCGCCAGATCCTGGAGAATTCTGCGAAGACCCCCTCTGGCTGACCCGGTTTAGCGAGCCGCTCGTGGCCGCGAGGCGGCCGCGCATATTGGCTGACCCGGGTTTGCGAAGACCTGCGTTGGAGCCTGACTTTTTGTTCGGAAGACCTAACGCATGCTATTTTCGTCGTTCACCCACCCACCCACCCACAAACATAACTCGCGTTATGTTACAATAGATGTGGCCGGGTCTTTTCCCCCAGCTGAGTGGTGAGTGACGTCGCAACGTAAATATCTAAAAAAGAAGCCGCACGCGGAACGAACATGTGAGTCTTGAGCCAGCTTCGGGCGCCCAAAAAAAGCCGAAAAAAAGCGCTACATGTGAGTCAGGTGTCAACTTTGGCCATCGGAAAAACGCCGGGGGAAACTCATGTTTGAGATGGTGCCGACTGCTTGAGGGGAGTTGTGGGGGCGTCTGTTTGGGGCAAGGATTTGTTAAAGGATCTTCAAAGTTAGATAGGAATTTCGAACCCCAGAGACAATCAGTTCTGGAGCTCAGAGACACTCGAGAGCCAGTTAGGGAAAAGCTAATTAGGGAGGGATTTGGTTAAGGATTTATGGACTTAGGAAAGGATTTGGTAGGGGATTTCCAGAGTTAGATCGGAATTTCGAACCCCAGAGACAACCAGTTCTGGAGCTCAGAGACACTCGAGAGCCAGTCAGGGAAAATCGAATTTGGGAGGGATTTGGTAAGGATTTAATGACATAGGAAAGGATTTGGTAGGGGATTTCCAGAGTTAGATAGGAATTTCGGGCCCCAGAGTCAACCAGTTCTGGAGCTCAGAGACACTCGAGAGCAAGTTAGGGAAAAGAGAAAGGATGTAAAGACTTAGGAAAGATGGACTTAGGAAAGGATTTGGCAGGGGATTTCCAGAGTTAGATAAGAATTTCGACCCCCAGAGACAACCAGTTCTGGAGCTCAGAGACACTCGAGAACCAGTTAGGGAAAAGCAGATTAGGGAGGGATTTGGTTAAGGATTTAAAGACTTAGGGAAGGATTTGGTAGGGGATTTCCAGAGTTAGATAGGAAATTCGAACCCCAGGGACAACCAGGTCTGGAGCTCAGAAACACTCGAGAGTCAGTTAGGGAAAAGCGAATCAAGGATAGATTTGGTTGAGGATTTAAGGACTTAGGAAATGATTTGGCAGGGGATTTCCAGAGTTAGATAGGAATGTCGAACCCCAGAGACAACCGGTTCTGGAGCTCAGAGACACTCGAGAGACAGTTAGGGAAAAGCGAATGCGGGAGGGATTTGGTTAAGGATTTAAGGGCTTAGGAAAGGATTTGGTAGGGGATTTCCAGAGTTAGATAGGAATGTCGAACCCCAGAGACAACCAGTTCTGGAGCTCAGAGACACTCGAGAGCCAGTTAGGGAAAAGCGAATTTGGGAGGGATTTGGTTAAGGATTTAAGGACTTAGGAAAGGATCTGGTAGGGGATTTCCAGAGTTAGATGGGAATTTCGACCCCCAGAGACAACCAGTTCTGGAGCTCGGAGACACTCGAGAGCCAGTTAGGTAAAAGCGAATTAGGGAGGGATTTGGTTAAGGATTTAAAGACTTAGGAAAGGATTTGGTAGGGGATTTCCAGAGTGAGATAGGAAATTCGAACCCCAGGGACAACCAGGTCTGGAGCTCAGAGACACTCGAGAGTCAGTTAGGGAAAAGCGAATCAGGGATGGATTTGGTTGAGGAGTTAAGGACTTAGGAAAGGATTTGGCAGGGGATTTCCAGAGTTAGATAGGAATGTCGAACCCCAGAGACAACCAGTTCTGGAGCTCAGAGACACTCGAGAGCCAGTTAGGGAAAAGCGAATTAGGGGTGTATTTGGTTAAAGATGTAAGGACTTAGGAAAGGATTTGGTAGGGGATTTCCAGAGTTAGATAAGAATTTCGAACCCCAGAGACAATCAGTTCCGGAGCTCAGAGACACTCGAGAGCCAGTTAGGGAAAAGCGAATTAGGGAGGGATTTGGTTAAGGATTTAACGACTTAGGAAAGGATTTTGTAAGGGACTTCCGAAGTTAGATCGGAATTTCGAACCCCAGAGTCAACCAGTTCTGGAGCTCAGAGGCAATCGGGAGCCAGTTAGGGAAAAGCGAATCAGGGATGGATTTGGTTGAGGATTTAAGGACTTAGGAAAGGATTTGGTAGGGGATTTCCAGAGTTAGATAGGAATTTCGAACCCCAAAGACAACCAGTTCTGGAGCTCAGAGACACTCGAGAGCCAGTTAGGGAAAAGCGAATTAGGGACGAATTTGGTTAAGGATTTAAGGACTTAGGAAAGGATTTGGTAGGGGATTTCCGAAGTTAGATATGAATTTCGACCCCCTCAGACAACCAGTTCTGGAGCTCAGAGACACTCGAGAGCCAGTTCGGGAAAAGCGAATTACGGGGTGTATGTGGTTAAAGATTTAAGGACTTAGGAAAGGATTTGGCAGGGGATTTCCAGAGTTAGATAAGAATTTCGACCCCCAGAGACAACCAGTTCTGGAGCTCAGAGACAATCGGGAGCCAGTTAGGGAAATGCGAATTAGAGAGGGATTTGGTTAAGGATTTAAGGACTTAGGAAAGGATTTGGTAGGGGATATCCAGAGTTAGATAGGAATTTCGACCCCAGAGACAACCAGTTCTGGAGCTCAGAAACACTCGAGAGCCAGTTAGGGGAAAGCGAATTAAGGGGTGCATTTGGTTAAGGATTTAAGGACTTAGGAAAGGATTTGGCAGGGGATTTCTGGAGTTAGATAGGAATTTCGAACCCCAGAGACAACCAGTCCTGGAGCTCAGAGACACTCGAGAGCCAGCTAGGGAAAAAGCGAATTAAGGGGTGCATTTGGTGAAATATTTAAAGACTTAGGAAAGGATTTGGCAGGGGATTTCCAGAGTTAGATTGGCATTTCGAACCCCAGAGACAACCAGTTCCGGAGCTCAGAGACAATCGGGAGCCAGTTCGGGAAAAAAACGAATTAGGAAGGGATTTGGTTAAGGATTTATTGACTTAGGGAAGGATTTGCTAGGGGGTTTCCAGAGTTAGATCGGAATTTCGACCCCAGAGACAACCAGTTCTGGAGCTCAGAGACTCGAGAGCCAGTTAGGGGGAAATGGATGAGAGAGGGGTTTAACTCATGACTTAAGGACTTAGGAATGGATTTGGTAAAGGAATTCCAGAGTTAGATAGGAATTTCGAATTCCAAAGAGAAGAAGTTCTGGATCTCAAAGACATTCGAGAGCCAGTATGGGAAAAACGAACGAGAGAGGGATTTGAGAAAGGATTCAATGTCTCAGAAAAAGGTTTTGGTAGAGGAGTTCCAGAGTTATACAGGAATTTCGAGTTCCAGAGAGAAACAGTTCTGGATCCCACATGCATTCGAGAGCCAGTAAGGGTGAACCGAATGAGAGAGGGATTTAACTAAGGATGTAAGGACTTAGGAAAGGATCTGGCAAAGGATTTCCAGAGTTAGATAGGAAATTCGAATACCAAAAAGAAAAAGGGCCCTGGATCTCAAAGACAAGCAAACCCCTCTCTCATTCGTTTCCCCCTTACTGGCTCTCGAGTGTCTCTGAGCTCCAGAGCTGGTTGTCTCTGGGAGTCGACATTCGTGCGTGACTCTGAAAATCCTTTACCAAATCCTTTCCTAAGTCCTTAAATCATTTGTCCTACCTTCTCATCAGCTCTCCGACGGCCCAAGACGGCCCAAGAGGCCCCAACATCGCCCCAAGAGTGCCCAATAGGCCTCCAAGATGGCCCCAATACAGCCCAGGAGGGCACTAAGAAGGTCCCAAGATGGCTCAAGAGGCCCCCAAGACGCCCATCTTGGGGCATCGAAGACTGCCCAAGATTGCCTCAAGATGGCCTAAGACGGCCCACATGGACCGCACGAGACCTCCAAGACGGCCCAGGAGCCCACCAAGACGTTCTCCAGGAAGGCCCGAGTAAGTTAAACTCATTGATGTTCCTTAGGTGTTTGAAGGATGTTGGCATGTTCTTGTCATCAGCTCTCCGACGGCCAAAGACGGCACAATAGGCCCCCAACATTGCCCCAAGAGCGCCCAAGAGGCTTCAAGACGGTCCCATGACAGCCCAATAGGCCCCCAAGTGGGCCCCAAGAAGGCCCCAAGACGGCCTCAGGGCTTTTAGCATACGCTGTAAGTTGCTCGTTTCCAGGGCCACGTCGCGCAAGGCCGCAGCCTCGAGGTCACACTCTTGTGGCATACCTCCTCTCTTGCCTGAACCCTCCGCGCGACCTTAATTGGGAAAAGCAGCAACCCGACAACGGGGTTACAACATTTTCATTGCTCGGGCATGCTCCCGCGTATGTTGCCACACGCTTCTGTTCATCGTGGTGGGACCGCAGCCATCTGGCTGCGACGGCACCAACGACTCGGTTGCGACGGCACCCACGGCAACTCAATGGCTGATAAGGTTGTGACAGGTTTGGTGATGTCGCTCGCGGCATTTGTGATCATCTCGATGAAAAAAAGGCCCCAAGACGGCCCAAGAGGCCCCCAATGCGCCCAAGATGGCTTCCAAGA